ATCATTAATATATTTCATATCATGATATCATGTGATTTTCCTACTGTTTTAAAAATCATTTTGACATGTGTACTGATTTGACATTATGCTCCCAACAGCTTCTAAGCTTGGTAAAGCAATGAGGAAGTTGGTGTCAGGTGGTGAGGACAAAGTAAGTAAAAGTAAAAGGCTTCATTTCTGTTTCTKGTCCAGCTTAAGTGACTGGCTCTTAAGGAGAGATRSTACCAAGAAAATGAGAAAGAGTTTGGATTTTATCATGTGTTTATTTTTCATTCATTTTTTTTATGCTACACTTCTAGTACTCTTCATTGATGGTTTGATTTGTATTTTTTACCTTTAACATGTMAATATTAATTTTTTGTAGGCAAAAGAAGAAATGGCATGGAAAATTGCCAAAATGATGATAGAAGATGTTAAAACACAAACCAAACATTAACAATACTTATAAATACAAAGTGAATTATAAATTCAAAAAGAATTAAAACATGTACATGTTCTATAAACAAGGTATTGCTAGCTTATATACTATTCAAATTTAAATTGAATGGCACAGTTTTTTATTTGAAATGAGAATTTGTGTTAATATAGATTTTTATACTTTCGTGACCAACACTTTTGCCTTTTTTGCAAGATGACAAACTCTGCCAGTGGCATGGTGATCTAAAACCGTTGTACTCTGGATTGCAAACAGAATTATTATTAAATTTACATACTGTAAAAAAATTAAACGGGTTTCAATATATGCKATGCTATGTGATCGGATAAAGGTCGGTTGGTGGCTGCTATGAAGCGACTTCGTGTGCCTGCAACTCGATCACTTTCAGCTACACCCTTCTTGCACTGAGAGTAATAGGTCATTACACTACGAAATTTATATTTTGATTTTTTCGTTTTTATAAAGTTGGAAAAAAGATATCTCTTGAAATTATCATAAATTAGCCATATAGGAATTAGAAAGTTGAATAAAAAATGCATAAGGAAAATCGTAGCTTTGTCATTTTCTATTAGTATGAAGCGCACGTGACTATATCTGCTGTGTGGTGAACTTGTGTTACGCGTTAGTGTCGGGGCACGGGCCCGACATTACCGTGATCGTGTCATTGCTGTGACTTTTTGTCTAGCCTGCGTGGCRGCTCTAGGGGTTTTAAAATTGCAACCTTAAGTGTGCTATCAAAATAAAAACGTGGGCTGAAATCCAGTATGGACAATAAAAAGCTGGTTTGAAAACTCATACTCACCCTCAAACTCGTACTCGTCAAATCTGAAGTTCTCTACTGCTCGGCACAGCACGGACAACACAAAACGGTTATACCGAGCCTCTCTAAGGGTAGAAGCCAWAGAAACAATAGTACTACACGGTAACGGCAAAAGAAAACTGATCCAGTGAACCTCTATTACACCAGGAGGGCAAAAAGGTGATACAACCGGTTGGAGTTTATTAAGCTTGTTTATATTTTTATAATGGTAATGATAATAAAAAAGTCCCTCATGTCAACTTTAAAATTCAGCTTGTATCACCGCTAAAAAGCATATCATCTCCTTGCACTCCACCCCACTGACCCCACCCACCTTGCACCCAGGCTCCTTGCACCCATCAAACCGAACGTTCCACAGGAAGCCCGATCGACCCAGGCAGGAAGGTCKCCAGCAAGTCAGTTGATGATAACGACGACAGAGGAGGACATGYWGCTGGTGTAGGTCTTACTGCGATAATTACATGCACACTTAAAAGGAAGGATTGATACAGGTAAATTATTGTGAGTAGAAGTTAAATGTTCGAGACACGGCCAAAGAGGCAGAAGAGGCGATCATGGCATTTAATTATCGTTGACGGCGTCTTCCTACATGAACTCATTCCGTTGCGCTTAGGCCATTAACTTCAACATTTCAAGTAACTAGGGCGGTAATTGATTATCAATAATCTATTTTAACACAGAAGATATAAGCTTASTGTCCTTAGTATATGAACTCTACTTTAGTATTTATCTTACTCTGATTAAACATTGGCATCGGTTCCATCAATAAAGACCTTTCGTTTTGCTTTTGGCATTCACGTGACGATTATTAGGATGTTTTTGTCGAATAAAATTAATGKTAGCGTCGACGCACTTAATCCATGAAGCTAAAGTCCAATGTTTTGGCGAAGTCTCTCCAGTAGTCCATGACGAAGGACTCCAGCTTTAGTTAGCTCTTGCTCATGCTTGTTTGCCCCGGGGAGGGGGCGTCCTTATAAAAGTTGGTAGGTATGCTCGATGGACCTTTTAGGGCCGAAAATATAACCCTCACGTACCTTTTGGGGTCCTGAGCTGACTCCGTACCTTGTAGGGTCCTGAACTGTTACCTGAATTAATTTATGCGTACCTTTTAGGGTCATTTTTCAATCCATCCATCAAGCATACCTACCAACTTTTATGATCCCCTCCCCCTGAGTTGTTTGCCCATAACTCAAATTTTCCCAAAGAGTATATAAAAGGAATTATTGTTTATTTTGATATCAATGATGCTGTTAGGACATTAAGTAAAAAGACAAAAAAGTCTGGATACTATTTTGTTGACAGGGCATTCACAGACTGTGTCAGAGAATTTGGTGGAAACAATGGAGGTACTACTAGGGAAAGCTTGYTTGGGCTTTAGGTCACCTGACCTCCAGGAACTCCAAGACTGTAATGATATCTTAGATAACAGACATCTAYTATTAGAACAATTGCATGACAAGGGGTATGTAGAGACAGGGGGGTTAAGAGGGCAGAGGGATTGCAGATAATTTCTTTTCAATGATTATTGTGATGATCATAGACTATACTTAGATAAACTATAGACTTTTGATAACACTAATTACTAAATTAACCAAACTAGTAGARTCTATGGCTGTAGCCGACCTCCCCAGGCAACTCTTTTTCCTTCTCTGGGGTTCCTCTGTAATGGTTATCTTGGCTCCCATTCTCCTCTGGCTCCCTAAAAAAGACAGGAATCCCGTCACTCTTAGTGATGCTTGAGGAGGAGGCTATAAAAGCTAGTTAATGCAATAGAAAACAATGCAACTAGCATAAAAGTACAAAACATTTTTACTGATATATCRCGCTCTTACTAAAAACACTATAATGCACCAACAGATATTTGTTCATTCGACAACTTCATGACCGTCAGGARGTACTACAAGCAAGACGAGCTGTACTTGAATATTTAAGCCAAGAACAACCCAACTCATTTGACACTACACGACCACTTGAAGAAGCAGTGTTGAATAAGGATAAAGCAACAACTCGGTTTGTTAGCATGGAGGTATATATTAATGAGTTTAGGCTCTTTTATGTGCGGGATTCCTGTGTGTTAAGACTTTCATTGTCAGCAAATATGGTCAASTGCATTGATTAAGTGTACAATGCCAATTTAAGCTAAGTTTACACTTTTAACGGCATACCCTTACAAGATTCTTATTATAAGACATGCAAGTTCTGACAGTTATTTTGAGGTTAAAAGCAAGTTCCTAGCTATTTCTGGAGAGAGCAATTAATAGCTGGGCAGCTAAAACTTATAAAAAAACTAGCTGGATGCACAGTGTATATCAGACACTTACTTATACTAATAACTAACTAATTTGCTGTATTACTTCCCCAATGCATGAATGGCACAGTCAGATTATGGAGGCATGGCAATGTTCTGTGACAGGGGATTGATAATTATGATTTTGTTTTTGTGTCAGGGAAAAAACACCATTACACACAGTAAGGCCCTTTTAAAGGTTTTTGAAGGCGAGAGAAGTGAGTATTGTTTGGTTTAATTATTAGATTTATGTTGACCCATTCAGCCAGCAACTTAGAGTGCCCTTTATACCTATAGTTAAAGCATTCTTCAGGTTACTTTTTGCTGAGGAGCCTAAAACATTTGACTACAAATGGCTCAGGTGAGTSTGTTATTTGGGATTACAGATCTTAGGAAGGGTCATGTAACCCCTACATCCCAATAGCTGATAGATTAAAGGTCCAGTCTATGGAAAAGGAATTATGTAATTTATACAAATATTAGTACAACGCCAGAAAACCACACTAAGTGAGTGTAATTGTTCCTGGTTGTGCAAACACAAGCAAATAGAACTAGTCAATTGTTCTTTCTACAGTAAATGCTGCAATGCATTATGAGATTGACGGAAATGCAAACTGAGCTATGTTGTGTTTCCAATCGTATTCCAGAGCAATCTGACAATGGACAGAATTGATTTTGCCAGAAACTTCTGCCACCATAATGAGTCACTTAGGCCATCACAAAAACTACCTCATTAGGAAAGATTTTGAATGATTTAGTAAATTTCAGTAAACACTATCTTTTCAATCKACAAAGTTTCTCATATTATTTTGTTTTTCCTAATTGATGCTATTATCCAGGGCTATACATCAAGGAGGTTTTACGGGAGCACACGTTGACAACGTTTACATGTCACGTGGTACAAACAAATTGCTGACATGTTGGACACCGATTGGTGACGTTACTATGGATATGGGAACGCTGGCCATGTGTGAAGGCTCACATAGACTTCCTGAGTAAGTTGACAAATGAATATGTGGATTTTCCAAAAAAAACCTGTTTTCCAGGCGATTGCAGAATGCACTATTAACCACATGGGTATTGATTATTGAGGGAAACATTTGTTTATCAATGCATTCAATACAAATAAGTGAATATTATCCATAAACTTGTCAACTTCTTTTGATCATGCAATCGATGATGCGATTGGATAACCCTGGCTGTTAGGCAAGCGCGTTGCGTCCTTTACGCATATACGCACGTGCGTACTAGTGGCAAGGAAATTTAAATTTTCGGGATTTTTTTGCTTGCTTTCTCGCACCAAGMCTTCGTTATCAAAAATAACCTGAGCTTCACATTTAAATAAAACGATGCCGCTCAAAAGGTTGGAAATCGCATTTCCAAGACCCCCCTGAATACTCCCACCTTCGGCGGTCGTTAGTCCCCCAATCCAAAATGTATCGCGGTTCCAGACATATGCGTAAAACCCAAAAGGTCCATATAGCTATTTGCTTTACGTAAAAGGTATGCGAACTTTCGACTTGATTATATCTGTCTTGACTTTCTACATAAAATACTGAGCTAAACGCTTCGAATATGATCCATTGATTTATTCGAAGCGTTTAGCTCAATATTTTATGTATAAATTGCTCCTTTAAGTTGAGCACTATGAAAAATTATTCTTCAATATTAAGTTTGTGTCTTGACTTTCAATATATGGACAGAGAAAAGCAGACTTTGTGCGAAATCCGCCTTATGCACCTCATGGGCGACAAGAGAACCGATGATGATGATGATTATGAAATGCCAACAATCTTAATGTAATTCCTTTTTATTATAATTTCCTTAATGTGGTATTTGCAGCTTTTGAACGCCATATAATAGTAAGTTAATTCGATGAAGTTCGAAGGTAGTTCGGTTAAGCTTAAAGCTTTTGTTGTTGTTGTTGTTGTTGTTGTTGTTGTTGTTTTTGACAGGAATGAACACAAAGATGGCGGGGGTGCGTTAGCTATATTTCTGAAAGACCACAGTGCTCTCAGTGCCCACAGTGCTCATGGAGCCTAAATAGCATGTTTGGGGAGTAAAATCATTTTTCATTTAGATATGCTTTTGCATTTTAGATTTTCTTATTTCCAAGAAACGTATGGCAGCATGGATTTAGAGAAGGAAGGTGTCGTAGGGTCGGGTTGGTTTACAGAAGATGCTAATGAAATCACAACACGGTTTGGCGGTCAATGGAAAACTGCTAATTTTCAAGCTGGTGATGTTTTAGTTTTTACTCAGAGGTAGTTAGAATCAAAACTCTTGACTCTTTTTCATTAGTAACTTATTAACAATCAACTTTTCTTTTTTCGATCTTGGCAGAACAGTGCACATGTCGAGTGTTAATACAAGTCACTATGCAAGAATCAGTTGTGATACAA